ATTATAAAATAGGACAGACATTGGAGGGTTTGGGGAGGGAATGGGGAAAGAGTGGATAGATAATGAACACTGCATTAGAACAGATGAGGGGAAGAACTGTCCAAAAGGAATATATAATTATGCATTATATGTATGAGAAGTCTTGTACAAGGGGTTCTTTATAGAGTGGGCTGGGGGAGGGAGGCGAAAATGTGCAACAATAAATTAAATAAAAGACTAAACCTCTGGAATGTATTTAATGAATGCCCGTCTCCCGGTACACATTGCATCTAGATGCCCACATCTGTTAAGTTTATATAGCTTTTAGGTATCATTTCTTTTTCCTTTTATGTTTCCCAATAGCCTTTGTGGCCCAGTGGGTAATTGCTTTACTGCTAATCAGTAAATCAGTGTTTTGAAGCCATCAGTTGCTCTGAGGGAAAAGTTATGACATTCTGCTTTCATGAAGATTTCTAACCTCTGGGGCATAGAGAGCTCTGGTGGCCTAGTGGTAAGGTCACTCTGCCCACCCTACAATATGTGGTTTGAATCCACCAGTTATTCCACTGGAGAAAAATGGGCAGTCTCCTCCTGTGTGATTTTCAGCCTTTGATGGTTCACTAGAGGGTATGCTATGAGTCCCCTCCGACTCGCTGAATTTGAACAACAGCAACATGGAGCATAGTAGTGTAACATATTCATGTGATACAGATAAATACCCTTCGACAAGGATCTAGTAAGCAATTCTGAAGTGCTCAGTGTTTTATTACATTTTGTAAGACATGTAATAGTAATAAATAGACTCTGCCTCTGGCACTGATGAAACATAATTGCCCCCCCCCTTTTTTTTAAAGTGGCTTAAATATAAGGGTTAAGAAGCTGTGCTGCAATCCTGAAGTCACGCGGTTTGAATCTACCAGCTGCTCCACAGAAGAAGGATGGGCAGTCTCCTCCTGGGTAACTTACTGCCTCTGAAAACCCACTGGAGGTTCAGCTACGGATTGGTTCCAACTCAGCAACAACAATATAGCCAAAAACGTGGCAACAACCTAGGTGTCCATTAGTAAATAACAGTGTAAACCAAATGTGATATATCCAGATGGAGAGAAAACCCCAGACACTAGCTATTTAGTGAATTCCAACTCAGAATGAGGCTATAGGACAAAAGTAAAGCTGCCCTGAAGGGTTCGCAAGGTCTTAAATCTTAATGGAAGGAGACTGCCACTCACACTTTTCTGTCACTGAACAGCTGGGTCTAATATTGAACCACCAACCTTTCTGTGAGCATTTGAGAGTTTTTACCACTGTTCCACCAATGGGATATTATTCAGCTATAAAGAGAAATGGACTTTCGTTAATAGGGTCACTATGAGTCGCTTGCAACTCTACGGCACTTAACAACAACAGAGAAATGAAGTTCTGAAGTTCTACTACCACATGGATGAACCTTGAAAACTTGTTGAGTGAAATAAGTCCAGTAAAAAAAGGATGAATATTATATAATCTTACTCATAAATAATTTCCCTAGTAGGGAATGTATACAGACCAAAGTTTATTAGTGGTTACCAAGGATGGATGGGAAGGTGAAATGGGTTTCATAAGGGGTGCATAATTGTTAAATTTGATGAAAAAGGAAATGGATAGTGATGATTGCCATATGTATTGATGAATATAATTAATATCACTAAATTGTGCACAAAAAATATTTGAAACGGCAAATATTTTTGGTATATTTCACCACAATAATTTTTTTTTAAAAAAGAAGTAGAAAATTTTGCTTTCCATACTTTATAGTCATTATATAGACATATGCTCAGCCATTAGTGAAAAGGCTGGCTGTTTGAACCCCCTAGCCTCTTCTCAGGAGAAGACATAGCAATCTGCTTCTGTAAAGATTTATAGCTTTGGGATTCTTGTAGGGCAGTTTTGTTTTCTGTGGCAATAGATTATAAAGACTGCATATAGAATTTTAGGTTTTCAGACAAGGAGAGAGTTGTTTCCAACTGTAATTAATCTTTGGTTCCCTTCTTAAGAATTATTGATGGTGCTATAGTTGAAACAATCATTGCTAATTGAAAAGTCAGTGCTTTCAACTCACCATCACTCAAAACTCAAGAAATGACTAACATCGAGTTGGAATCGACTCAGTCACACAGGAGGAGATTGTCTTTCTCCATTTTAGCAGCTGGTGGATTTGAACCACCTGCATTTACATTGGCATCTTAATCCCTTAATCACTAGGCCATTGACGTTTCCTCCCATTCCCTCAGTGGAAGAAAAATGTGGCAGTTTGCTTCTATTCTGTAAAAATGTGTCTCCTTAGAAATGCAATAGGGCAGTTCTCCTATAGGGTTGTTGTGAATCAGCTCACTGACAGTGGGTTGTCTTGTTTGTAAAGGAAATGCTTCTAGAAGGAGATATTAGACATTGTCTAACTTTTAGGGCAACAAGCTTAGCTTAGTGCTTGCCCAGAATTAAGGTTGAAGAGGTTGACTGGGTTGGGGGAGGAAGATGAGAATGTTTTGTTAGATTTTTTAAAAAGCTTACTTCACTGAACTGAATAATGAGAATAAGAAATAAGATTGAACCAGGCAATAAAATTTTTAACATGCTGCCAGTACAAAGCTATGTGGTTTGAATCCACCAGTTTCTCCACAGAGAAAGATGAACAGTCAACTCTTGTGCAATTTACTGTTGCTGGAACAGCGCCTGTGGGTTAGTTCCAGTTCCATAATACACAACAACAGCATAGTAAAAGGGAACTCTCTGGTAGTAAGGAATTGTGCTGCAAACACAAAGATATCTTTGAATCTACCAGCTGCTCTGCGGGAGGATGGGCAATCTTCTCTTGGGTGTGCAGATTACTGCCTCTGAAAACGCACTGGAGGGTCAGCTGTGTGTCTATTTGAATTTGACAGTAAATGACCACAACAAACAACCATGGCAAAAACAGTTTAAACTAAATTGGAAAAGGAGCCATTTATGTTGTTGTTAACAAATGATCCTTTATTGAAATACTTTCGTCTGTAGTCATAAATAGAAAATAATAATATATAAATATATTTATATATTTAATATAAATAGTCATAAAGAGACCTGCCAGAAGTCCAGGCTGGGTTTATTTAGAAGGGGTTGTGGTACTAGGGATATTGTAACTGATGTTAGATGGATCTTAGCTGAAAGCAGGGAATACCAGAGGAATGTCTATCTCTGTTTCATTGATTATGCAAAGGCATTTGACTGTGTGGATCATAACAAACTGTGGCTGACTCTGAGAAGAATGGGAATCCCAGAACACTTGATCATGCTAATGAGAAACCTATACTTGGACCAAGAGGCAGTAGTCAGAACAGAGCAGCGAAACACTGCATGGTTCAAAATTGGGAAAGGTGTATGCCAGGGATGTGTCCTGTCTCCATACCTTTCCAACCTGTATGCAGAACAGATTATCCGAGAGGCTGGGCTCTATGAGGAGAAGTGTGGCGTCAGGATTGGTGGAAGATCTATCAACAATCTGCGTTATGCAGATGACACAACCCTGTTTGCTGAAACTGAGGAGGACCTGAAATGCTTGCTGCAGAGGGTTGACTGCAGCCTTCAGTATGGATTGAGGCTCAATGTCAAGAAGACAAAGATTCTCACCACTGCATCAGCTGACAGCATAAGGGTGGATGGTGAAGAGATTGAGATTGTTCACAGCTTTAGTTTGCTTGGCTCCACGGTCAACACTCTTGGCACCAGTAGCCAGGAAATCAAAAAACATTACGATGGGAAAGTTTGCTGTTAGGGACCTCTCCAGGGTATTGAAGAGCAGTGGTGTCATTCTGGAGACTAAGGTGCGTCTGATAAAGGCTATGGTCTTTGCAATCACTTGTTATGCATCAGAGAGTTGGACAGTGACTAGGGAGGATAGAAGGAGAATTGATGGCTTTGAGCTGTGGTGCTGGGGAAGAGTATCGAGGGTACCATGGATTGCTAGGAAAACAAACAGATTCCACCTAGAGAGGGTTAAACCAGGCTGCTCCTTGGTGGCAAGGATTCTCGGGCTTTGTCTGACATACTTTGGACATGTTGTAAGGAGGGACAGGTCCTTGGAAAGGGACATCATGCTTGGGAGGGTGGAGGGATGGCGCAGGAGGTGAGAGCCCTCTATGAGGTGGATTGATTCAGTGACTGGGGTAATTGGGATGTGTGTGTCAGAGGCAGTGCGATTAGCGTAGGATAGAGCAGGGTTTAGGGTTGTTGTATATAAGGCCACTATGAGTTGCAAGTGACTTGACAGCACATAATAACAACAACAACAGTCATAAATATGAAATGCTTCACAAATTTGCGTATCATTTTTGCACAGGGGCCATGCTAATCTTCTTTGTATCATTCCAGTTTTAGTATATGTTCTGCTGAAGTGAGCACGAGTGATTTCTTAACCAGTTAACTGACTTGTCTTTGGGATAGTATTTCAGAAAGATGACGCTGATCAGGAAGTGTAAAGTTCACTTTACTAATGAGAAATTAAAGTAAGGAGAAACAAGCTGAGAGACTATTGCTAATTTAGGTTTAATTTTATTAGAATTTAGGTTAATATTGTGACAATAAATGAATAAAGGCAAAATAAGGTAGGCATTTTGATGTTACAGTGAAGATAAAATAGCAGGAGACTGAGGAAAAGAAAGAAGTGGACAGTTACAGCTAGATTGGTCTGGGAAGAAGTGATTGAAGGCCGCAGAGCACTTCCCATGGGGCTAGAGGGTCAACTGTGAGGAAGAAGTTGAGGCAGTGGTGTTACACTTTTCAGGAATTTGTCTGATAAAAGAAGACTGGGTCAAATGAAGAGTTCCCTCCTCCCCTTCTCTCCAAAGGAGGGAGAACTTCTAGATATTTGAAACCAAAAGAAAAGAGATAGCAGTGATGAAGATAAACATATTATAAGAGTTTTCAAATATTTTTCACCTCTAGGACAATGGTCTAACAGTTTTTATCTCACATTGCTTAATGGCCGTCTTTTCTCCTTTTGGCTTTAGATCCAGAAATGGCAAGACCCACCAGTTCCAAAATCACCACCACACTGGGGCTGGTTGTCCATGCTGCAGGTAGGGTTGTATTGCTGGGGATCCCCTTGCTCACTGCAAGCAGAATGTTTGCATTACGGGGCCTCCCAGCTCAGTGTTCGTGGGCTGGCCTAGGGGAGGAGAGAGGCTGCTTAACCAGGGGAGGTACTCCAGCACAAGCACTGGCATAGTTAGTGTCATACCTTAGACAGAGAGGCTTGTAAGCTAAGAGTGGTCATATATGAAATTTAAATTTCAATGTCCAAGAGTAAAATTTTTTTGGAACACAGCCATTCTTCTTTGGTATGTCTGTTCCTTCAATTTGATGAATGAGTGGATTATTATTTTTTTTTAGCATCATACTTTTTTTCAATACCAAAACAATAATGGCTAGCATATATTGATCACTGCAGGCCAGGTACTAAGGTGTTTTACATATTTTTTTTTTACTTAATCCTTATGAAAATCTTACGAAATCCATACTTGAATGCATTTTAGAAGGGGAAACTGAGGTTTTAAAAATTAAGTTACTTTCCCTGTATATAAGACAAAAAAAACCCCAGTTTCTACATGATTTGAAATCAGGAAAGGTGTGTGTCAGGGCTGTAACCTTTCTTCATACCTGGACAGTCTTTATGCTGCACAAATATTTCCAGAAGCTGGGCTGTATGAAAGAGAATGTGACTTTAAGATTGGACGAAAACTCATTAACAGCTTGTGTCATGCCCATGACACAACTCTGCTTGCACAAAGTAAAGATGACTTAAGGTATTTACTGCAGAAGATCAAAGGCAACAGCCTTTTAATTTTTCAATTAGATTCCTTCTCAGTGTAAAGAAAACAAAAAGCTCATCCCTGGACAAATACGTAGCATCATGAGAGATGGAGAAAAGTTTGACGTTGCCAACACATTCACTTTACTTGGAGCCACATTCAATACCCATGATAGCAGCAGTCCAGAAACCAAAAGATGTGTTGCTTTGGGAAAATCAGCTGTCAAGGACTTCTTTAAAGCACTAAAGAAAAGGAATATCAGTTTAAAAGTTAAGGTGCACCTAATCAAAGCCATGATATTTTAAAATTCTTGAAATGCATCTGAAAGTTGAACAGTGCATAAAGAAGATTAGAGATTCCTTAGAATTTTGGTGATGGAGAAGAGTACTAAATAGCTGATAGACTCTCACTAACAAGTCTAAGTTGGAGGAGGTGAACCCTCCTTCTTCTTAGAGGCAGGGATGGTGAAACTTTTTATCACATCCTTTGGACATGCTGCCTAGAGAGACTAGTCCTTGGAAAAAGACAACATGCTTGGAAAAGTGGAGGATTCGAGAAAAAGAGAAGACTTTCAACAAGATGGCTTGACAGAGGGACTGTAACAGTCTCAGAGACTGTAACAGCATTCAGAGATGGGGGGTGGATCGGGCAAGGTTCTGGTCTGTTTGTGAGTCATAGTTAATTCAGTGATGCCTAAGAGCAGCTACCTGGCTCGAAAGCCACATATTCAACCACTGCCCTATTGATTTTTTTTATGTTTCACTTTCCCCAAATTTAGCTGATGGTGTTGCTTTGGGAGCTGCAGCTTCTACTTCACAGACCAGTGTCCAATTAATTGTGTTTGTAGCAATAATGCTACATAAGGTGAGCAAAATTTTGGTTTAAGATTTTAATAATGCCTGTATTTATAATGAAAATATCTCTTTGGTTAACATTTCTGTGGAATATGATATGATAATGTGAAAGAAAATATTTCTTTTTCTATAATGACTATTCATTTTAGTATATCTACTCGTAAGTTTTTTGTTTGCTATTATTTTCTTAGACTTGAAGTGATTTTCTTCTTTGTATACAATTAACTAGTCATAAAAACTTTTAAAAGCTCTTCAGATTTCTGTGTTTCATAGTAATTTTTGCTCTCAGTCTTTTTGCCTAAGTCCTAGGAGAGCATGTATTTATGTCAACAACTTCCCTTTTCTGACATATAAGAAAAGGAGTCCTAGTATCACAGAGGTTAACCCTCAGCTGCTTATCTGGCTCAGAATCAACCCAGTAGCAATGAGTTTGGTTCCTTTTGGGTCTAGTATTTAAGAGAAATGCTCTTACACATAGGTCATTTTCTTTGCTTAGGACATTAATTTGCAAAAAACCTCAGTCTTTGTACTCTATCTGTTTTATAAGAGAATTTAATATTTTTAATGTGACGTAAATTATCTCAATACTTCTAGAGAGAAAAGAGATATTTGGGTTTTTTTGTTTTGGTTTTTTTTTTTTCTTTCTTTTTTTCCATCCCTAGGCACCAGCTGCATTTGGGCTGGTTTCTTTCTTGATGCATGCAGGCCTTGAGCGAAACCGAATCCGAAAACATTTGCTGGTCTTTGCACTGGCAGCACCAGTTATGTCTATGGTGACATATTTAGGACTAAGTAAGGTAAGTCTGATACATTTCTACCATTTTTAGACAAATGTCTGATTCTTTTGTGATCTACTAGGATTACTCTTATGTTGTTTTTCAACTAAATTACTTTCTGAAACTAAAAGATGTAATTGGGAGGAAAGCCTGTACAAAAGAAAATGTTTTTAATTCCACGCCACTCCTCTTCATAATTTGTTGTTGTTGTTGTTAGGTGCCATTGAGTTGACTTCAACTCACAGAGATGCAATTTGTCCACTTGGCTCAACTGGATCAGTAGACAGCATCATAATATATGGAGGAAAGATTGAAATTGTTAGCGATTTTATTTTACTTGGAGCCAAGCAACACCCACGAAGCAGTCAAGAAACCAAAAAACATGTTGTGTTGGGAAATTCTGCTGTCAAGGACCTCTGTGAGGTGCTAAAGGGCAAGGATGTCAGTTTAAAGACTAAGGTGTGCTTGATCTACGCTATGATATTTTCACTTGCTTTGTGTACATGTGAAAGTTGGTCAGTGAATAAAGAAGTCCAAAGAAAAAGTGAGGCCTTTAAATTATCGTGTTCAATAAGAATATTGAGGATCCTTGGACTATCAAAAGAACGAACAAAGCCGACTTGAGGGAAATGTGACTGGAGTGCTCCTTGGAGGCAAAGATGGTAAAACTTCATCTCAAAAACTTTGGACGTTGTCAGGAGGGTCCAGTTCTTGCAAAAAGACATGCTGTGAAGGGGTCAGCAAAAGAAGGAAATCCTTCAACAAGGTGAATTGACACATTGCTGAAACAGTGGACTTGAGTGTGACGGATTGTGAGGGTGGCATTGGTTAGGGAAGGGTGGAATCATCAGGTGTGGACTCCACAGCACCTAACCACAGCAAAATGACTCAGCAGAATAAAGTACTGCCAGTTCCTGCACATCCTTTGCCAGTTGTCTCCTTGAGAGTCTTCCTCCTTTTTAAATGAGCCTCTGCATTATCAAGCATGTCTGTCTTTGGGGACTGAGCCCTCTTGATAGCAAGGCCGGAAGTATGTGAGACACAGTCTCACCATCTTTGCTTCTGGCTGCGTTTCTTTGAAGACAGATTTGTTTGTCCATTTGGCAGCCCTATTCCATGTTGTTTGCCAACACCATAATACAATGGAATGAATTCTTCTGTCTTCTTTATTCATTGTCCAACTTTCACATGCATATGAGATGGATGAAAAAATTTAGTATTTTCTTAATCATTTAACTTAAAAACTTATTACCATTGATTAAACAATATTTTCACAAGTATAGTTCTTTCACAGGTATATTATTCCAAGCATTTATATTTCATGTTGAGGTAAGCACAAGATGTGTGAGAAGCTGTGCAATACCTTTGAATGAAGGGTTGGACAGAGATGTCTAAAGTCAGCTAAGACTCAGTCTTCTACTCCCTGCTCTCCTTCATCAGATATTTAATACCCAGTTTTTTAGCATTACAGTGAGCATAGGTTTATACCTGAAGTAGCATATGTCATTTATCAGCTCAAAGCCTGCAATGCTTCTGGGTCATTCGATATTTTATAATTCTACTGGGCTCCATGAGGAGAAGTGTGGCGTCAGGATTGGTGGAAGATCTATTAACAATCTGCGTTATGCAGATGACACAACCCTGCTTGCAGAAACTGAGGAGGACCTTATGCACTTGCTGCAGAGGGTCAAGGACTGCAGCCTTCAGTATGGACTGAGGCTCAATGTCAAGAAGACAAAGATTCTAACCACTGAACCAATTGGTAGCATCAGGATGGATGGTGAAGAGATTGAGATTGTTCACAGCTACAGTTTGCTCGGCTCCACGGTCAACACTTTTGGCACCAGTAGCCAGGAAATCAAAAAACATATTGTGATGGGAAAGTCTGATGTTAGGGACCTCTCTAAAGTACTCAAGAGCAACGGTGTCTCTCTGAAGACTAAGGTGCACCTGAACAGGCCATGGTTTTTGCAATCACTTGTTACGCATCAGAGAGTTGGACAGTGAGTAGGGAGGATAGAAGGAGAATTGACGCCTTTGAGCTGTGGTGGTGGAGAAGAGTATTGAATATACCCTGGACTGCCAAGAAGACAAACAGATTCATCCTGGAGAGGGTTAAGCCAGGCTACTCCTTGGAGGCAAGGATTCTGGGGCTTCGTCTGACATACTTTGGACATGTTGTAAGGAGGGACAGGGCTTTGGAGAGGGACATCATGCTTGGGAGGGTGGAGGGACAGTGCAGGAGGAGAAGACCCTCTGTGAGGTGATTCAGTGACTGGGGTAATCGGGATGGGTGTGTCAGAGGCAATGCGATTGGCACAGGGTAGAGCAGGGTTTAGGGCTGTTGTACATAGGGTTGCCATGAGTCGCAAGCGACTCGATGGCACATAACAACAACAACAACCACCACCTATGGGGCTGTAGTTCTTAGCAACAGTGCTCCCCACTTTACTTAAATGTTATCTGCAAGGCAGCAAGAGGAAAATCTTAGTCTACTAGTTGACCCCAAGCTAATTCATAGGATCTCTTTTTTACTTTGCTCTGAAAGGTGTTAATTCTTCTTAGTGTCAGTACTCCAGATCGTAGAACATGCATTAGAAAGAATATATGAGAAATTAGACCATTGATGAATTGTTAAGTTCCTGTTGATCAAGTATTTGCTGATATTGATTGCTACCAAATAAGTTAGTAGCAATCTATCTGTTCATCAGAAGAGCCATACCTTCTTTCATTCAGTGAGCAGTATAATAATTAAAAAAACACCTTAAATCATTGGCATCACATCAGAACTAACTCATAGCTGACCCCCCACCTAGTTTTACAAGGTGGAAGTCACACAGGAAGAGACTGCCCCTCTTTCTCCCTGGGAGCTGGTGGGCTTCAGTGGCTTTATAGGTGTCACCTTTGCATTTGACTATGCCACCAGAGCTCCCCTAGTTCCTTGAAAAAAATGGGTCTAGTTTATTCCTGTATTATAGGTCAATGCAGGTTGTAAATCTTTGCATAGGCATGTACTAATACTTCTGAAGGCAGAGTTGCATATTTATGGCATGTTCTTTTTTTGAGGTTCTAATTAATCACCTTAGTCCATATACAGATCCCAAAGTTGCTTTTAAAAATCTGTTACATTGAAATTAATCATATAAAGATTAAATTGTGAGGTGTCCTAATCTGTGTGAGGGCAGGCACTTAATCGAGATTAGCACTGTATCCTAAGTACCTAGACTAGCACCAGATGCATGAAGGCATGATTTAGAAATACAGAGGCAATAACTGTATTTGATATTAACTGTAACTAGAATAAATTAATATCTGCATTAATTTAGTCTTAGTTTCATCTTAAAAATAATATAGTCGGGGAGCTCTGGTGGCCTAGTGGCAAGAAGCTGCACTGCAATCCCAGAGATAGGTGGTTTGAATCTACCAGAAGCTCTGCCGGAGAAGGAGGGGCCATCTACTCCTGTACCAGTCAGATCCAATTTGACGGTACACACACACAGAAAATAATAAAATTTTAAAAAAAATAATAATATAGTCAAAACAACATTGAGATAACATTTCCCAGCAACAATAGGGCCTTTCAACAGGGCAGCAAACAACAAATGCTGGTGAAGTTGTAGAGAGTGGAATTTTCATCCACTGATGATGGGACTGTAAAATGGTTTAACAACTGTAGATGGAAGTCTGAAACTTTCTTAAAAGGTTAGAGATATAAGCACCATTTAACCTAGTTAGCTATTCTACTACTGGGAAACCAGAGCCAAGACCCAAAGAATGTTTGCACACCCATGTTTATTGCTGCAGATGGGAGCAGCCCAGCTCTCATCAACAAACAAATGGATAGAAAAACTGTGGTACATTCACCCAATGGAATATTATGCAGCATTGAAAAATAGTGAACTTGTAAAATACTAGATAACATGAATGAGTCTGGAAAACATCATGCTGAGTGAAATATTTCAGTCACAAAAGGACAAATAGTGCATACCACCATCGTTATAAAATAGGATTGACATGGGGGTGAGAAGGGGAAGAACAGAATAATGGTGAACAGATGATGAGCATTGCATTGGAACAGATGAAGGGAAGCACTGTCTGAAAGGACTGTATGATTAGGTATTATATGTATGACAACAGTCTGAAACAAGAAGTGCATTACAAAGTACCCTGAGGGAGAGGGAAGGAGGGAGGAAAATGTGCAATAATGAATGAATGAAAACCCAACCTTTTTGTAAACTTTGGCTAAAATTAAAAAACCAAACAAAAATAATAGAGGCTAAATCAGTTCAAGTTTGTTTGAGAAAACAATTGTGTGATATTCCTACACCCTTATGTGCATGCTTCTTAGAAATGACGTAACATTGCTCTGATCTCAAGATGTCCCCACTGTCCCAGATGGCACCAGTTACAATTATAGAATGCTTATCTTACTGAGACTTCTGCCTGACCCTGTCTCTTCCTGACTTAATATTTCTTTTCTCTTTCTCTGTCAATCCACAGAGCAGTAAAGAAGCCCTCTCAGAAGTCAATGCCACTGGAGTGGCCATGCTTTTCTCTGCCGGGACATTTCTTTATGTTGCCACAGTACATGTTCTACCCGAGGTGGGTGGAATGGGCCACAGCCACAGACCTGATGCCACTGGAGGGAGAGGCCTCAGCCGCTTGGAGGTGGCAGCCCTGGTGCTGGGCTGCCTCATCCCACTCATCCTGTCAATAGGACACCAGCATTAAGTGTCGAGGTTCCAGTCTCTCTCCACGGCCGTTTGCCATCCAGTGAGAACAGCCGGCACATGACAGCTCCTTACTTCCTCAGTCTCATGTCTTGCCTTGCGCATCTCCACCTGTATTCCTAGAGTCCAGAGGGAGGTGAGATTAAAATCTGGAGTAACAGAAAAGCTTTTAGAGTAGAAACAACACATTACAATTGGATATAGACATTCCCTGTGTTGTATTTTAAAGGGCCTTGGCATTCTGAGTTTTGATGTTTCTCTTAACCCTATTCTCAGGGAAGATGAAATTAGTTTTAAGGAAAGAAATCGAGAACTTCATGTTCACAAATAGTGATTATGACAGTACAGTGTTCTGTAATTAAGCTGAAATCTCTTTTTATGTTAGAGGCTCTGCCACTTTATCCATTGATTTTTTAACATGTTTCTCACCGTGTCAGACTGGTGCTTTAGCATCTGTGCCACATGCCTTGATAGAAGGTCGTAGCACTCACTGTCTGAGATGCTGAAGGGGATTGCCTTTGGGTGAGCTGGCTTTATATGAGAGAAAGCGAGAGAGCGTGCACCACTGAAAGGCGAGGTTCAGAGACACCAGCTCCTCCTTCTGCACTGGCTTCCCTAAATAGAGTCTGCCATCCTATAAAGTAAAGTGACAGAGGTGGAACGGTCTGTTGAGTAGTTGAGTAGCATCTCCTCTCAAGTTCTCTTTTGCGGATACCTGCCTCCAACACGTTCTTACCAGGAAGCCATATTCCAGTAGGCTTAGGCCTTGGCTTTCCTTCAAGAGCAGTTAATTTCACAGTTATCTTTGGAAATTAAGGGATATTTTAATTTTCACTGAATTGGGATAGTTGCTGACATCTTTGTAGCTCTTTTTAAAAGTAAGACTCGGAAAACCTCTGTGGTACCCTCCCCTTTTTTAAAAAACAAAGTATTACTCTTAGTGGATCAACAATCCCTCTAGTAAAATACATGGTGCCACTGAGGAATGTGAAGTCCGCTGTGCATAGTGGCTTTGGCAATGAAAAGAGGAGTTTCGGAAACGGGAATGCCTATTGAAATCATGTCTCTTGTCTCTTCATTTTTTTTCTGTGCTTTTAACTTTTCCCTCCACAGTTTGCTGGTGGCAATGTTAATACTTCTATGAGTTGAATTCTCATCAGGATAACCACTTCTTGAACTGTGATGATGAAGATAATTCTATTGTTTATTCCCTCCAGAGAAGTTACCCTGTGTCAAATGCACCTTTGTTAAACCGTGAACATATCACCACCTTGTGTGTGAGTCTACACACTCATTACTGTTATGGTAAATGAAACAACTGTGATAGCAAAGTGTTAACAGACTAGGGTAATATTTCCATATTTGCCAAATCTCTGTAAATTCTGTTCTGTCAAATAAGTGTACAATATTGTATTAATAATTTATTTTGATTTTCTGTACTATTTCAAAGCATAACATTACATAAAGGGAGAACCAAGGATACGTTCTTCAGGGTAGTGGATTTAAGAGGTCATAAACTGTTTCATATGACGCATAAACCAGCATGCTTATCTCTTTATTTCCCTCCTAGATTTATCCCCACACTAGCAGCTGTTTGAAATAGAACTTGGGAGCCCTCTGCTGGCTACAGACCAAAGTAGCAGAAATAGGATGCAGTTTTGTATGGTGGCTGGCATCCTTTACATACCATTTTTAAACCATCTGAAAACACAGCCAACCTATCAGTCATGGGGCTTCATCTTCAGAAGGACCTGGTTGCCTTGATTCTCCTCGGAAGCTTAGTAGAGAGCATATTAGCGTCTGCGTTAGGTTGGAGAGTAGCACTTTGTACCATATCTTTCTGGTCAGTGGTCAGGAATTACTCTGCTGGCCAGCACATCTTGCAGCAGTGCCTTGCCATCACACTCACAGGTTTGGCTAAAATATCCTGCAGGGTAAGGGCCTTGAACTCTGGCAAGGAATGAGGCATCTAATTCCCAATCTGCCTTCCTTTCTGGATCTTAACCACCAATAAACGAACCTTTTGAGACCTACCTGCTCTGAGGAGCTGTGGGTGTTCCCAGATTGTATAGCTGCTGCCGCTAGAACTACTCACTTCCCTCCTGGTCAGCAGGTAGAAATAGCCATATTGATCTCACAGGGCTCAAATACATCTGCAGGCAGCAGAGAACCAGGCAGTGGGGTATAGCTGCCTCCCTGGAGGAAGAGCTTTGCCAGCCTGGTGGGCACTGTCCCAGGAAAGGCCATACTGATGCCTCCTTGTTTCAGTTCCGTTTTCCTCATGTTTAAAACAGCTTCCTTTGTTGTGGATGCCTTAATGCTCTAACACATCAGAAGACATTGGCAGGGCTGCCATCCAGTGCATATAGAGTCATCAGCTACCAAAGAGACGCTGATTTCAAAAGCGTGGTCTTTCCTTTGTCCTAGCTAAGGTTAGTTTTAATCGCAACTTGACTCTTTTAGAGAGAGATTTTCCTCAGATTCCAGGAACTCTCTTACATGGCAGATTAAGTTGGAAAATACTACTGCTGCTTTTCCTTAACATATTCTCCAGTCAATTGCTTTATCAGTTCCTATTTCATCAAAGTAGTGATGTTACAGGTTTCATTTGCACTTCCTGTGTGTGTGCCATTGCCACGTGTCTTTTTTTCAGGCAAAGATTCCACAGCAGAAGATTGAAAGTTGAAAATGGTACCTGTTACATACCTACAGAGGATGTGTGTTCTCTCCTCATCCCTCCTTTCCCTTATTAATTTCCTGGATCACAGAAGCTCAGCTAGTCTGGTTTCCTATATGTGGAATCATTCGAGAAAAACCCAGAAAGGTGCCCATTTGAGTTATTGGTTCATTGTAGAAAGAAGGAAGAGGTAATTGTGTTTTCTTACCAGCCTCATTCTGAATGTCACTGCCTGGCTGTTTGTGGGTTTTTGTTTGTTTATTTGTTTTTAAGGTTTTGGTTTGTTTTTGTTTTCATTGATTAGAACCAGGAGAACACACCAGCATCAGAGTGTATGAAGCCCCTAAAAGGTGAGCTTTGAACCAGCTTACGTTCATTTGACCCCCTGCTGATAGCTTGCCTTTCCATTCCTCATATTCCTCCCTTAACTTACCAACCTCAAGTCAAAACTGATCCTCCAACGGGGTTCTGAGGCTGTAAATCACATAGAAGAGATTGCTCATCTTTCTCCTGTGGAGCCATTGGGACATTCAAACCAACATCTCTGTTGGCTTGACCCAGATAGACTGAAGCATAATCTACATTTTAGCAAGATCCCCAAGTGATTTGTATGTATTCATTGTAATCTGTAAGCATCTGGGGATCTGTAAGAATCACCTGAGGATCTACTCAAAGGGAGATTCTGATTTAGTATATGTGGGAGCTGGAAAGGCACATTGTCAACTGGGGTTCAAGCTGGAATGAACTGGTTTGAAGCCCTGCCTCAAACACATGGTGACTTGTTACTGAACATGGGACCCTAATGTCAACAGCACAAGCCTCCAAAGAATGGTCCTGCTCTTTGAATTCCCAAGCCCCTTGGGAGACTGTGAATAATTCCTCAAATCATCCAACTTTGCTGCAGTACTAGGTGAGAACTCTCTGTAGCTATTCTGCAGTGGAAACTTCCGGCATCAGAAAACCCTGCTTACTACAAAATGGTCCATGTTGCTCAAATGAAGTGAAAACATTTGTTCCTGAGAAAGCTAGATTTTACCTCAGAAGACCAGAAAGGAATCTGTGACTTGTGAGAAAGGACCAGATGACCATTTAGGAGGTGGGCCTTGACTATTTTCCTGGTGGTATCTTCTGGCAAATTGGATATTTTGTGGGGTAACTGCAGCTCCCCTGCTTCAGTATCCTGAACAGTGGTTTTAAATGTCTTTTTCTGGATCCTTTGTAAACATATAATCATTCCATGGATGGCTGCCTTATAATTTTGTCTCTTTCCACTTTAATTGTGAATGGTTAAAAAAAATTGCTGTTTCTGATTTGTTCTATGATATTAAATTTTTATTAGTGCATACCTTATGTGAATGGCTCATTATTTCTCAACAGGTGGGTATTTTTCCCTGTGTGACAACCAGATTTGACCCACATTGAACATCAAAAAAGGTAATACAAGCTGTGAGAAGCTGTCAAAAGATCTACCTAGTGTACATCCTTTAAGAGAGGAGAAAGGGGAAATGAAGGGTTTGAAAAACCCTCAGCCTCAAGAGACACTCTCATTGGCAGTTCTTTTACTTTGCTGTTGTTATTGACAAATATTATTTATAAAGATACTTTTCTGCTCTGAGAAAAAAAGAAAAGGCAACCAACTCCACTAACACTGGATTCATTTCAAAGGGCAGAGCTGGTATATGGGTATTTAAATGCTATGAACAACTAACCAAGAGGTGGAGATTTAAAGAATTGCATTGTGTGAATTTAATAAGTGTGTTCTCCTTCTTGGACCTAGAGCTTGTTTTTTTGTTTGTTTTTTTTTAAGTTACATACAAATAAATGCGTACACAATAGCATATTATTTAAACGTATAACCCATATGTTTAATCATTGTTAGGAGCTGGAAGGTCAGCCGTGACTTATAGCAACCCTGTGGATATAAGAGCTAAATCTGGCCTGTCCTGCCCCATCTTCATCTCTGATACGCTTGAGCCCAATTGTTACAGACACTGTGTCAATCCATCTTGTTGACAATCTTCCTGTCTTTCTCTGACTCTGACTACCTTTCCTAGCATGATGTGTTTTTCTAAGGTCTGCTCCCTCTTGGCAACATACCTAAAGTATGTGAGACAAAGTTTCACCGTCCTTGTCTCTAAGGAGCAATCTGTTTGCACTTCCTCCAAAACAAATTATCTGTTGTTTTGGCAGTCCATTGGATAATCGTTATTGTTGTTCTTATGTGTTATTGAGTAGCTTGCAGCTGAGAGCGACCCTGTGTACAGCATTTCTGAACCCAGTACTATCCTGAGCCAGCCTCATTGTCTCTGACCACCTACCCTCATTACCCCTGTTATTGTGTCAGTCCATCTCCTCCAGGGTCTTCCTCTCTTGTGCTGTTCCTCGACCCTTCCAAGCATGATGTCCTTCTCAAAGACTGGCTCCTCCTGGCTATATGACAAAAGTATGTGAGTTGGAGTCTCAAAGTCCTTCCCTCCAAAAAGCAGCTTGTTTTCACCCTCTCCAGAACAGACCTGTTAATTCTTTTGGCAGTCTATGGTATGTTCAGAACTCTTCTCCAGCACAACAACTCAAATGCATCAATAATTCTTCTGTCATTGTTGGTCATTTTCCAGCTCTCTAAAGCATAGCAAGTAATTGTGAAGACCATGGTCTTAGTATGAAGAGGTCTTTGGCAACAGATGT